TAACAGTAGTGTACATCTTAGTTGAGTAGGATGAAGGTTTGCAAATTATCATGTCATTTACCTATCTTGTTTTCCCCACATAACTCGACCCCCACACCCCCACACATACACCAAGTTTCAAACTGATGAATTTTTGAATTTCTTCAGTTATAATCGAAGTTTGAAAATGTTGAATTAATATTTGAGGAATAATGTACAAGTTCTCATCACTCCCTAATAATGTATTAATATATGCAAATATGCAAATCAGAATGCAAATTACACATCTTGTCCTGACCAGAACAGTATGACTAACATGTGCATATCTTATATAATATATAAAAGTATGTATATCCAAGTATCGAGACAATGAATGTGAATTTAAACTATGCAGCTGTACCCAATTGTCATATCTTACCTATTTTGTCTCCATTTATAAATGTACCATTAGAACTTTTGTCTTGAATAAAAACATGACCGTCTTCCTGTAACAAAAAGTACAATTATTTTATCTACCCATATTTCTCAGAGGTTGCATGTAGCTGATTTGTGACCAAGTTATATTAGCCGACAGTGATGCCAGTCTTGCTGCAAAACAGTATATCTTTTTCCTACTAACAGCATTCTCTGCTCTCATGATTTTCATCCCCCTCTCTCTCTCCTGCGGCAAGTCTATTTATGAGAGTGTATGTTGAAAAGTTATCGACCAATCAGATTTGTTGTTATAAATATTAAACTTTCAAATATGTTAGTCCTTGTGAGGAGATAGTAAAGCTGGAACATTTTACTAAAAAAACTCATCAGATGTGAATTTGTATTAAAGTACAACAAAAAACAAAACAAATCATAAATGTGCATGTTTAAACTAAATATATTAGCTGACCACATTTGGAATATACCCACGTGTTTCAGTTGTGCTGGAATCCAACTACTGGGCAGTTCTTGTAAATTATGTATGCTTTTCAGTAAGACGATCATATTGAAGTAAATATTCAGCCAAGATTTACCTCATAACTCACATAATACACACATATGATTGACATCCAACTCACTACTAGTAATATTTCAACCAATCAAATCAATGTTATAACGACAAAACTTTCTTTAAAATAAATGAAGTACAGAGTAACCACAGCACAATTCTGAAGTACCAGGTACTACTTGTGTGGTGTACCTAAACACAAATCAACCAGCCAGAAAATACTGTGCACATTTCTGCTCACAGGATGAATTACCCAACAAAATTTGATTTCCTTGCACAATGATGGTATTGGGGAAAACACATTATAGGTAAAAAATGAATGCTGTTTCAATTGTATATAATTACCATATTTGCTCTATTAAAAGCTAATAGAGCAAATACTGTACAACCAAGTATGTACCTACCTTGTACAACCTGAAATGTATTTTACTGAGAGCTTGAAAGTGAGAATTCTTGCGGAGATCTTTGGTGTCAAATGAAAAGTCACAGGACGAATCTCTTCCAAACAGGTATTCATCTTTGGACAAGTCTGTTTAATAGAATTTGAAAGAATCCTGTACGGAGTTGACCATTAGAAACTCTGGGTGGGGAGACCAGCAGAAAAAAAGGGGAAAATTATTTTCTCCTACATTTAGATTTGAGCTTATTTTAACTTTTCAAGCAATTATATGTTTATTTCTATCAAATGTGTGTTGTTGAAATTAAATTGAAGTAATCAAGCCCATCCACAGGTTATGATCAATACAAGAACTATAGGCTTCACACCTGAAATTAAAGTTATATACTTCCATGTATAAAAACTAAAGCACTTGCTGAATAAAACACAATTTTTGGAGGTAGCAATAACCTTTTACATTCTTTCTTTGTGATTCAAAACAAATATTACAAAATACTCCAATGAAACAACCAAGCTATTTTAGCAAATTTGACTCAATGCATAAATTACCTGAATCTTAATTTAGTTATCAATAATCTAATTATGAGAATATACTTTAAATTACCCGTAATTTGAATTAGTAAAATAGGATAGCTAACGCACTATCTACATTTAGCCAAGAACAGTATAAGATATTTGACAAACTGACGAATTTTTAATTTACAGGTTTTCTTTCCTCTATGTCATTTAGAAAATATCAAACCATATAATTATAAATATATACATTCCCAGTACCCCCACCCTATCCCGTAAGCCCAGTGTAGAGCAGAGAGGTATATTGGTCAGTTGGCTGTATTTACGACAACTTTTGAAGATCATGTATAGGAAGAGTGCGACACGAATAATAAGAACATTCCGAACTTCTCTAGATTAAGAGTAGAGTAGAGTCCCAAACTTATCCCAGGTTTGTTATGAATTTAAAGTTTTACCTGCACGGTGTGTTATCATTCTTACCGAGCGGTTCGAAACCCTTTCCCAAAGGATAAAGTCTGCCCCAGATTTTCGTGGTTTCATCTTCTTCTTCTGCTTCATCATAATCAAAGTCACCATCGACAACGTCCTGGGTTGGCAACGTTTCCATGCTTGACAGGGTACCTCCACTAGACAAGCTACTACTTGTATTATGGCCGCTTTGATTCTGACTCATAGTTGACCTGACCTCTCACGCAATATAGTGATGATGTGGAGCTAAAAAACGTGGTAGTACCCTTCCGTGAGTAAAGATTTCTGCCACAACAGACAATGCTTGGTTGTTTCAGGTGGTTTAACATTGATGCCGAACTCTAGATGAGGATATATTTTGGAGGAAAACACCGATGCTATGATCATGTATGCAAAACAGCGAAAGCTCGCCAACTAAGACAGAACGAGACTTCGGGGAAGTCGCTCACTCGACGGATGAGCGGAAATGGACTCAACCATTATGAATGTAAAAGTACGATTATTGTTCCATTATTACGTTTAGGTATTCTTTACATTTTACCCAAATGAATATAGACTATGTTTATTGTAAGAAAATCAACTATAGAATAATCATCATAACTGTGTGTAGTGTTTATACTATTTAATTTATCAAACATAGTCACACGAAATATAAACGTCAAATCACCCCCCTACTAAAAGTGGTTCAACCAAGACGGAAACGAGTAGTTTTTCGGGATATAAAAATGGATGCGCCCAGGTGCCAGTGATCTGTTGTGTTTTGATGTAAATAATATCATTTTTGTCTTGATTCGACTCTTGAAACGTCTCTCACTGCAGGAGGAACATAGAAGATGGAAATGTGAGTGTCTTTACAGACTTATTTTCTCTTCGCCATCACAATTTGGAAGTGCTATCTCATTTATTGCTTTCCTAACAACGCTTGTTAGCGCCCTCTTTAGTTCAATTGGGAGAATTCTCTTTGATGGCAAAAAAAAAATTCACAATCAGTTTATTTCGACACCCACTGTAAGAATGTATTTAAACAACCATATATAACTTACTGGGGAGGAAATGTGTCAAATTAGAAAACAAAATGGTTTTCACCTTCTCTCCCTTCGTCTATTCCAGATACCCCTCAAAACAAAAATATACCGGTATGTACAAGCCCTCAACAGGCTTGCTGACAGGGTGTTTAAAAATAGTTGCTTTCATCGTTTGTTTCAGAACATCAAAGTGGATAGATTGTAGATAAGTCATTCACTCAAAAACAGTATAATCTGCTAATATTCTGCTAACAAAACGTACAAATCTAAATTAAAGGCCACATAACTTATCACGTACTAGTAACCAAATAAATGTGTGAATTGTGTAAATATGAGAATTATGGCTACATTTCAAGGACATTTATTTTTTATTTAATTATGTTTTTCTTACAGAATTGATGAAAGTGCAGCTATGCTGAGCAATTATGAGGTAATGATGTACCAGGGTAATCTTCATTCTTTCCTTGAGGTGATGTTTTACCTTGCTCCACTCATTAAAGTGACGACATATACAACATATAGGAAGGATAGTCTTGATAGATGTTTGTCCATTCTACATACCTTATTCTTGATTGTGGACATCAAACATTCAACTTTGCCATGGTAGTATATGAGGCATTTACACACTATTGCTTGTATCCAATCGGATGAAGTACAAAACAGGAAATCATGGTTTACTAGTAGTCTCTGTGCGTCTGGTTAAGACTCTGGCGTCCATTTTTGTTTTAAAAATGCACTAATGGAATTCCTCAGACACACTCAGACCAATTGGCAACCATTTATCTATTTAACGCATTAATGCCAGACTTTTTTTATTCCTTGTTTCTCGAGTTTTTATAAGGCAACTTTTTTGAGGAGGGCGAAAAAAAAAAAAATTAATTCTTTTTTCCATTAGATTTGTGTGATTCTCAAAGAATTGTAAGTGAGATCATTGATCGGAGAGAAGAAATGAAATGATATTTTATTCCATGTATAACTTGTTTCTCATCTGCGCGAGACTTCGGTACTTTGATTATGATACTCCCGCGAAAATGGAACTTGGATTTGTTATGGGGCAGGCGGTACAAAAATGAAAATAAAAATAATATTTTTTAGCATTTTTTACGCTGAAATAAAATTTTTATTTCATTTTTGGCTCCTGTTCATTCGGCTGGTTCGCAAAACAAGGGATAATAAGAGTCTGGCCTAAAATACACCCTTTTTGCACTTTAGGTCGATTTTTTTTTTCAAACTTGGTACATGTATGATGGTTTCATATGTTGGGCGCTTGTTGTATTGGCAGCGATTTTGTTTCATGGATTTGTATTTCCAGTGTAGAGGGTTAATTAACCAATGAGAGATAACCTTTCACAAGTTTGCAAACTAATTGTTAATTCTATGTTCATTAAACATTTTTAGCAAAGTGCCATTATGTACTTATGTTTCAAATGAAACACAAGTTTCTATAATAGTATACTGATCTTATTTAAAGTACATTCACATAAATTTGTTCATACACTGGTTGGGAGTTTGATGGTATGAAATGATTTGGGTGAGGATATCATCACTTATACTAGTTACCCAGCATGCCTTGGGTCAACACAATTGCTCATAACCTGCATAACTGGTCAGAATCTGTGCTGTGTTTTGCTATACATCACTCTACTACAGTAATGCCTAGTCTCAGAGACAATGCAAAGCTACATACAAGATGGTGCCTGATTGGCTACCCTAACCACCAATCAGAGAGTAGATTGTTTGTTGACAGGTTTTTTCCTGCACATCAAATTCTGTTTGGTATATACCTGCTTTGACTCAAGTGGGCTGCCATGCTGGTAATATCACATTCTATAGCCAAGAGTCTATGCAGTGTTTCACTTTACACCACTCCACTTAGGCCTAGTTACAATGCTAGTAATATCACATTCTATAGCCAAGAGTCTACGCAGTGTTTCACTCACACCAC